ATACGGGGGAAGTTCTAGGTCACGTGAACAATCGTCTAAGCCGAATTGTAAAAACAGAGAGTCATGGCCCCTCAGTCAGTCCCCAGACTTGAACCAGACCACAGACCCAGAGCCCCTGAGGAAGGGCCCCGGGACCCCCCTGGAAACGGTTGCTGGCTGTCTCCCAGCTTCCCCGAAGGACCTGCAGCCGTTCACAGGGGGACTGTGCTGGGGGAAGGGGCGGCAATGAGACTTCTGGGGACTACTGGATACCGGCTCTGAACTGCCACCGATTCCAGGAGGCCCCGAATGTCCCTGTGGCCCTCCGCTCAGATGGGGGCGCATGGGGGCCCGGGGTCAGGGCAGCTCCAGCTCAGGCCCCTCCCAGCGGCCCCGTGGGCCCCAACCCCGCCCAGCCTGGGCGGCCGACGGGAAGCACCGTGACGTCAGCCCACATCCTGGGCCTCCCCGAACGAACGTCATCTGTCGGGAGTGTCAAAGGGCCGCACAGGCACACCCACACCGCAGTTTCCGTCTCCAGGAAACACAGGACAGTGAGACCCAGTGTTTGCCATCAGGACGGCAGTTGCTTTAAAGGAGGGCATTTCTGGAGCCCTGTGGCCAGGCCGCAGGCAGTGGGCACCCGTTGGCTGGGGAGGGGCTGGGCGCCGTGGGGCTCCTCCTGGGGCAGACACAGCCCGCCTCACCACCACGACACCCAGGTTCCCAAACACCAGTGCTGCTCGCAACCTCGTCATCCCACTGACAGGGCCAGACTGGATGAAGAACAGAGAGGCTGTGCCCAGACTTGTCCACAGCCGTTAAAAATCGTGCTCTCAGTGAAGATTTAATGTTTATTCCCCCAAGATCTGGTTGGGGGAACGAGGTCATGAGACAATCTAAGGTGACAGGACACATTAAGAGCACACAGTGTGCGTGAGCTGAACTGCACCACATCCAGTGCAGAGGAGCAGCAGTATCTGGGGGTGGGGGGACGCATCCGGGGCAGGGGAGACCCTGGTCTGCACCCCCTTCTGTCCACATATGGCAAGGTGTGGACGGTCCCTTTTGAGGAGCCCCATGGGCCCTGGAATCCTCATGTTCAGGGACCAGGGACTAGGGGCGCTGAGGCTGGTGCAGGGGACTCCAGGTCTCCCATCCTAACCCAGAAGCCCCTCTGTGGGGGCCGAAACGGGGACTCCAGGCCACTGACAACTCAGAGAAGTCAATATTATTTCATAAAGAGAATCGGGTCCAAACTGTCCCCAAGAATGTGCAGACACGGAAACACTGCCAAAGCTGCACGGAAGAGCCAGGAGGGAGGCTGTGGGGACCCACGCGGCTTTAGCATCTCCCAGCTTCGGTGCCGACTGTGCAGGGCCTGCTGGCGGGACAGAGCAGAGTGTCTGGCGTCTCTCCAGACTCTGGCCACGTGAGTCGGGGCAGCTGGAGCCAGCGAGGCCAGGGTGACGTTGGCTCGGTTCACCAAGACGCAAAGGGCCAGGCTCAGCCAGGCCATGAAGTCCTGCTTCCAGAACCGCCTGAAACAACCACACAGCACAGGGAGGACGGCACCTCAGGAGGACGCCGGCGTCAGCCCAGACCCCGCAGCCGGGCCCGCCCCGCTGGCTGGGGCGGGGTCCCGCAGACTCCAAGGACAGGGAGGCCTGGGCCTTGGTCCTGAGACACAGACACCCTGGGGCACTTCTAGGGGCAGGAGACCACACGACACCCAGATCCTAGCAGGTCGCCTGGGAGGGGCAGCCCAGCCCCTCAGCCTCCCACCAGACTGGTGCCGAGGTCAGGAGCTCCCCAGGGAAGGTGAGGGCCACCAGGGAGGGACACAGGAGCGTGGGCAGGGAGGGTCTGCAGGGCACAGAGGGGCCTGGTCCGAGAGCCCACTGCAGGTCTGCGGCACCCAGGCCCAGCCCTGGGGCCCCCAAGAGTGGACCTGAAGCCAGAGGCCAGGGCAGCACACCCACCAGGCTAGCTGTCGTCCAGAAAACAGACGGTAATGAGTGTCGGCAAGGATGCGGAGAAGGCAGGACCCTGTGCACTGCTGGTGGGAATATGAAATGGTGGGGAGCAGTGAGACAGCTCCTCAAACAATATAAAAGAGAACACTGTTTGATCTGGCAGCTCCACTTCTGGGTACATCACAAGTGCATAGAAAGCAAGGACTCAAATATTCGTACACCCATGTTCAC